ATTATAATATAGTATTCCAAATAAAACCGTTTTTATGTGATTTCCTTATTTAACTTTTTAAAATATTAAACATTTTTGTGTGCTTATTTTTATTTATTTATTTACTTATTATTTACATAAATCAATACATACAAAAAATTATAAAGAATCTAATTAGTAACTGTTTGTTTCTCTGCTTCTTTATTTACTTCAGAGTTTTCTCTAGCTTTTCTATTTCTCCATGCTGTCATGTAAGTTCTTGGATGAATAGGGAAGAAACCTGCTAAGCCTAACAACTCAGCGACTGGTGTAGAAATAGCTACTCGTTGCCCAAGCCAATATTGTATTCTTTCAAAATTAAATGAAATTAATTTCTCATTGTATTTGTTTGGTATTGGATCATAAGAACCTAATTGTTCAATAGGAGGCCTATGTTCCGCTAATTTTGTCTGAAAAAATATATTTTATTATATTTTAAAGTAAGAGAAGTACATGTAAAATACTTATATACGTCTAATTGTTATAAAATAATATTATTTTAGAAAATCTTAGAAACACTCATATGGATATTTCTTATACTTAAAAAATTATTGAAATATAATTATTAATTGATTGCTAGCTTACATCCATAACGACAATATGGTAGAACGGTCTGTTTGCACAACCATATCGGGCAAATCTAATAGATTTTCCATATTTAGTCACTATCCCTGTACCTGAGGAAGGATGTAATGGTAAACGAGGCATTTTTTAAATTCGAAATATTTTAATTAAGGTTATGTCCTTCTGTGTATATATATATTTTTATATATAAATATCTCTCTCTTCTCTTTCTAGATAGGTAGATATATATAACTGTCACAAATTACTAGAGAATCGAAACTCCCTACGCGTTTACTTAAAACATTCTTAAAATATATTTGAATAAAAATATTTCTGCTTCAAGACTGTATCCATTCATAGAATGCTTCGGACCCCAATTAATATAACCTTAATCTAACCTAATGCTGATTAGTTCTAATTTTAACCAGTAAGTTTACTATTTTTTAAAGATATTATTTTGGAGTCGGTTACTGAAGTGAAATCAATTGTGTACTTAGTGATATGTCATTTTTATTATTTATATATTTTTTGGTATAGATATAAAAATGTCGAGAGATAATAAAGCAGTATTAAAAGAAGTGCGAGAATTACTTAAACAAAATGAATATTTAGAAGCAATGATAAAATGCAAACAAATAATAAAAAAAGATAAGAAAAATTATATGGCACATATCTTATTAGGTGCTGCTATGCTTGAATTAAAAGAATTTAAATTTCGCACTCCAGCAATCTTCCAGAAAGCAATTGAGATACAACCACAAAATATTTTAGCTTGGCAAGGATTAGTAACTTATTATGAAAAAGAATCACAAAATAAATATGATGGGCTAAATCAATTGATAGAAAGTTATTGTAAACTTCTAGAACTTGATAAGTAAGCATAGATAGTTCATTAACTTATATAATGATAGTGATTATATTAATTTCAGTTTTATATTAATACAATAAATTTTATTTTCAGTGATATGTCCAAAGCTTTCATGATTTTGGAAAAAATATCTAACCTTCTTTTATGTAAGAAAAACAATTTAAACTTTAATAAAGCCATTGAAAAATTAAATTGTGTACGTGAAAAGGTCAATGAAGGAAAACAAATTTTAATCAGTAAATCTTTGGCATATATTTTAACAGAACAATCTGATATGTTTCAATTTAATTACATATTAGAAAATGTTCTATCAATTGTCATAAAAGATTCTAATGTCGTAAACAGACAAAATTATTATAAAAAATATTTAAAACTTTTAAATAAATCTAATAAAATAAGTAGATTAATAGATGAAGCTGTTAAAATGCACAAGCAATTCCCGATAGACATTTATCCTCTTGGTATGTGTAATCAATTACAAAATTTTAATAATATATATTCTAAATTCAATAATCTTTTACTTCATTATTTCAGAATTGATATGCAAAGTTTATAATGACGACAGAATATACAATAAAAGAGAAGTTGATATTGATATTGTCCCTTTTTATAAATCATTTAGAAAACTTAATCATGAATCCGAATTGAGTTTTATAACTGAGGCAATACATCTACAAGAAAGTGCCGATTTATTCCGATCACGTGAAATTCTAAATCAATTAGTTTTGACTAAACCAAAATCATTTTATGGATATATACTGTTGACCAAAATAAACAAGAAATTATATTGTTGGGAAAATGTCGAAAATGCCGCATCCGAAGCATTACATCTTTCATCTTATAAATCTTATTTGTGGAATGAAATTAATGTATTATTTATTGAGTCACTTAGCAAAAGCAACCATATAGAGAAATGGAAATTAGCTAAAAAATTATGTGAAGAAGTAAGTCTTATTGTTAATGTCAAATTATATGAGTAGTAACATTCTCTAGTAACACATATTATGATATAAAATTATTCATATTTATTTTATTACTTTTTGCTTATAAATCATATATATTAAATCTATAAGATTTCTTTTTCATTATTTATTATGTATATAATTAAATAGATTTTAGAAAAAAAATCTTCAGTACAAGTAAGATTAATTCTTGCACGGGTCAATGTATTATTAAATAATGATGGAATTCTTAATGAATTAAGTGATATGGAATCAATGCCCGAGACAAGAGTTGAAGCTGGTGTTTTACAGGCATTACATTATAAAATTCATAATTGCCTGGAACAAGCTGTAGATGTTCTTGGATCTTCTTTAGCAACTTCAGAAAGTTGGTCATTACTTGGTAAAATATATTGGGAAATGACAGATTATAATCACAGCCATTTAGCTTTTTTAAATAGCGTACAAGCAGATCGTTATAACTGGGAATCTTTTGTTTATCTTGGACATTATTATCTCGAACATGATAACGATACAGAACGGTCAAAAAAGTGTTACCAAGCAGCATTACAGATTAATCCTTATTCAGAAAAAGCTGGTATCGGTTTAAGTACAACGTTGAGATTACTTAACGATAGTGTATGTACAATATTTATGTTTAATAAGGAAGAAGCTACATTGATTATAATAATAGTAACTTATTAATGAAAATTTTTCTTATTTATAGAAAGCTAATATAGAATTGTTGCAAAAATTAACTGCTTATAGTAATGGTCCTAAATGGGCATGGTTACAATTGGGTTTGTATTATTTAGATAGAGGAAATGCAAACGAAGCTATTAAAGCATTGCAACATGTCATTAGAGCTGATCCCACTGACAAGTATAGAGAGTTTTAATAATTAAATAATATGTTTCTTTTTTTATTTTCATTAAATACTTAATTTCAATGTATTCTTTATTTAGTCATGGTTGGGAATCTTTAGCAGATGCATACTTGGCAAGAGGTGCTTATAGATCAGCTATAAAATCTTATCAACGAGCATTACATTTATGCCCTGGATCTTTATATTCTAGTATACAAGTTGCAAATATTAAATTAGTAAGTTTGACATATTAATGATTATGATAACGTGTTTTTCTTACTCCAAACAGATTATTATTATTATATAAATATATATTATATTATATAATTATTTATAAGAAATTTTCTTACTGTAGATAATAGGCGAACTTGAAGAAGCTAAGGAAGAATTTAAAAATATTTTGAACAATGAATCACATTATTTACCTGCCCTGAAAGGTCTTGCCGAGGCAGGCTTAGGTTTAGCAACAAGAAATATATCTAACCAATTCTTAGGACGCGCTGGTGAAAATCTTCAGCAGTCAATAGAATGTTTAGCAGATGCTGTATTGATTAACTCTAAAATAATTTGTATTTGGAAGTTATTGGGAGATGTATGTCATAAAAGTGCAATATTGTCTGAGAAATATTGTCACTTTAAAGTTAGACCTTTTTTGATGAATCTTGAAAGTACTGAAGAATATATTGTTATTGGAAGAGAAGATTTATTTCTACTATCAAAAAGGTATGAAATTTATTAATATTTGATTAGATCCCTAAATTTGAATAATATTAATTTAAAATATTTAGATCTTATTATCGCGCGCTGGATCTTTCAAAAAATTCTGCATTATTATGGCATGATTTAGCTTGCTGTTACCTTTCACAATTGCGTTTAAATTCTTTAAATAACCGCCAAAAAATTACAAATGAAGCTCTTACAGCTGCTAAATATGCTGTAAAGTTATGCCCAACATCATGGTCGCATTGGAATATTCTAGGGATAATCTGTATGATACCAGAAGTAAAAAATTATGCTTTGGCACAGCATTGTTTCATCATGTCAATCAGTAGAGAAAATAATGCTATAGTATGGACTAATTTAGGAATTTTATATGTACTTCTTGGTAATTATAAATAAATGTATATATATACACATACATACATGTATATATAATAATTTATTGGTCCATTATAGGAGCCATGTACAAAGCAAATGAAGCATTTTCTCGTGCCCAACAAGTAGATCATGATTATATGAACAGTTGGGCTGGACAAGGCATAATTGCTGAAATATTTGATTTAACAGAATCATTGAATTTGTATAGACATGCAACAACATTAGGATATAATAATGAAGCATGCTTAGGATTTTCTCATGTGGTATTAACATTATTGTTAAACGGTAATGCAAAAAACGATCCTTTATATACTTATAATATTGAAAATATGCATTCTATACCAGCAGCAATAGATATGCTTACTTGGTACATAGGTTGGTAGTTATTATATTTGTAGTCATTAGAACTCTATCATAAAATTATTTATTTTGTTTTATGCAAATAACATTTAATAATAATTTACAGAACACAATTCAAATAATGCACATGCACTCAACACTTGTGGATTATTGTTAGAAAGACAAAAATTATATTTACCAGCAAAAGAGCAGTTTACTAAAGCATTATGTAAAGGTAACAAAGAAGACAAAGATTTCATTCGTATAAATCTGGCACGAATTTTATTACATTTTAATCAATATGAAGAAGCTATAAAGTTATGTAAAAGTGTACAAAATGTTACTTTTAATTCACAATGTCATTTAGCTTTATGTTTCTTTAAAGGTAAGTTTTAATTTTGATCTCTTTGTAAAGTGATGTATCCTATATATTTACAGATTTATTTATTTGTAAAATTACAGCGAAACAATTTGAAGACTCATATAATACTTATGAAATGGCTCTTCAAAATTCTGTAACAGAAAATCAAAAAGCTAACGTATTGTGTGCTATGGCAGCTATGACTCATATCTTTCAAAGAGTAGATGATGTTAAAACTTTACTCTTTCAATGTATAATGATTAAGCCGCCTTTGATACATGGTTTTCTAGCAGCTGCCGCATTGGGTATATTACATGGAGATCTGAATTTAACCAATCTGGTATTAAATGAATTAAAGTCATATGAAAATAATGTTGAGACCGAGCATCACATTACTACTTTAACTGCTTATTCAAGCCTTGTCCAGAATAAAGTACATGATGCCATTAAAATTTTATCAAAGATAACTTATAGATTTCCAAGTGAGTATTGTTTTTATATTTTATTTCTAGAATTTTAAGTAATGAAGATTCTAAAAAACATACTAAAACAACATAAAATAACATCATAACTAACTAAAATATGACCTTAAATATATTTCATAATAATTATCACACACACACACATATATATACGATAATAATAAAAAAATAAATAAAATTGTAGATGATGCCAATTGCTGGATAAATCTTGCTAGAATTTTATTTGATCTAAATTCAGAGACATTCCATAGATGTGTACAAAAAGCATTATATTTACATAAGATTTCATCTTCTACAATGATCATACATATAGCTTGTGCATCTATATTAAATAATTTAATTACTGAAAATTTCACTGATGCATTGAGGAATATACAAAAGACAATATTTCAATTTCCTAATCAAATTGAAAGTTGGGGAACTTTTATTGCTGTCCTTATA